TATACGCCGTATACCCACTAGAAAATGTCAAGGATTTCCGTATGCCCACTAGGAAATGTCAAAGATCTCCGTATACCCTCTTTAAAAAGCGTGAGGATTCGTAACAACATCGTTTTGTGAAAGAACTTTCATTCATAAATTCACCCCGCCGCCCGCCCGCCGTGACGTCTGTGTTTGCGCAGCGACACGGATCGAATCGCGGAATCCAGCAACAAAATAATGTAACAGCTGTAAAGCGTAACGTCACGCAATTTGGCCATTTTTGAATGAACAAATCAAAAGTAATGATACAATGAATCAAATCTCGATATGTACTAAGTGTCTATGAATATTAAAGCATGTTCTGCGTGTTTCTGTGAATGGGCGCTCAATGTGTGCTCTACTACACACTGAAGCGCGCGTGACACGTGAAGCCTTGTTTATACTCGACGCGTCCGCAAGAGCGCGAAGGTGCGCACGGCAAAATGACGTAATTGCGGTGTGGGCGGTCGTGCGCGTTGGGTCCAATAGTATTCAGCTGCAGACCCGCAGCACCACCAGTTTCAGAACCCCAGCGCCAGAACCGGAAGTAGGGGCGGAGCTTACGTTCTAACAACAGCGCCAGGACCGGAAGTGAGGGGCGGAGCTTACGTTCTAAACCGAGTAACGCCACCTAACGTTTTGGAGCGTAATTTGCTTAGACACGAAACGGCATTATTACACACGAAACGTCATACTTTATACGTATTATAATGATACATTAAGGTATAGTACAATAAGCATTTTAAAACATTGATTTTGTGTAATATAATTGTATATAGTTATCCGTTTCATTGTATTATGAGAGTTACTTCCTGGTCATGATGGTAAAAAAAATAATGCTAATGGGCATTTTATATAAAATATACTTTATTTCACAAGAACATGTGCAGCATGCATTTTTCTTTATGTAAAATAATGTCCAAAATCTTTGAACATTCAGCATTGTTTTAAAAGAAACAATAAAAATGTACCGTAAAACTTTAAATAATAGCCGAGTCCCAAATAGACGATTGTCTCTTTACACGCCTGGTGTGGCTGCAGGTTTGGGTCAATAAAGGCCGGTCTCAAATAGAGGTCGGGTCTGTTTTTTAGTGTCAGGTTGTATTTAATCTTCTAAAACCCGTCAGATCGTCCGCTTTTTGGCGGCCGCCAAAGCAAATTTGTGTCCCGCCAAAGCCTATTTTGATCGGTGAGTGATGTAGAATAGAATGACTGCTGCGCATGACAGGGCGCTTAACGAGCAGAGAGAGAGAGAGAGAGAGAGAGCCCTGGCCGCGCGCGCGCACTCTCACGTCTTCAAACAACACGAGCGCTGTCTTGCACTTTATTTGTCACATACCAGTTATAGTTCATACAACGAGCAGTGAAATGTAAGTCTGGTATTCATATAGACTCACTGTGTAATATAAACATACCCTAAATATTATTTAAAAGATGCAACAATTTTAAATATTTTTAAATAGGCCTACTTGCAAAAATAACCATGCTTGTGTCATTGTCAATAATTCCGCCCCTCCCTCACTTCCGGTTCTGGCACTGGGGTTCTGGCGCTGGGGTTCTGAAACTGGTGGTGCTGCGGGTCTGCAGCTGGATATATCTCGATGAGTGCGCTAAGGTAGGACCAAACCATTTCATGCTGATACAGGGGGGTGGTCGGGCAATATGGATGTTTACTTTTTGGTCAATGGGGATATTTAAATTTTATTGCCACAATAAGTTAAATCAAAGACATCATTCATTTTATTATTATTTGAAATATGCTCAATGATGATGGTTTAAATAGTGTATAATATAATAAACAAATTTAATTAGTTTTTACCTATTTGTTGGGGCCCCTGTCAGTCAGGGGCCCTCGGCCATTGTCCTAACTTTAGCCACGCCCCTTTTCAGCACTGAGCTCGTTGTCTTTTGACTTCCGGTCTGTATTTTCACAGCGATCTTGCGTAGTTATGAATGAACGGCTCGTTTAAAAAATTTCCAAGGTCCATTTGTTAAGGGATAGTTCACCCAAAATTGAAAATTAAGTAATTAATTACTCACCCTCATGTTGTTCCAACCCCGTGAGACGAGAGTTCAAGAGATTTCCACGACGCATGCGCGAGAACTGAACAAGAAATAGTAGAAGAAGAACGTCCTCTTCTCAGTTCTCGCGCATGCGTCGTGGAAATCTCTTGAACTCTCGTCTCAGGCCCAAAAGGAAGAAAAGGAATAGTCAAATAAAGTTACTTGATAAACTTATAGTTGAGCCACTGTAGTCACTTGGACTATTTATACATTTTCTTCAATGACTTTCTGGGCCGTCAAGTTTCACTCCCTTAGGAAGCCTATGGAGGAGTGATCCAGCTCTCAAATTTAATCAAAAATATCTTCATTTGTGTTCCGAAGATGAACGAATGTCTTACGGGGTTGGAACAACATGAGGGTGAGTAATTAATGACTTAATTTTCATTTTTGGGTGAACTATCCCTTTAAGACATATGCTCATGATAACTTTCGTTAACTCTACAATAAGTAAATCAACTTCACCAGCTAAATACTCCTGGACAGCGATGCCATAGAAATATACAGAGCCACCGCAAAAACGGAAGTTCAAAGACAATATTCTAAAGATGGCGGTGCCCTCGTTTCTCTGGTGCATAAGGTCTATACCTGCCAGGAGGATTAGAACCCATAACCTCTGACAGGCATAACAAAATTTCTACCACTAGACTATTACAGCACACAAACAAACAAATCTATATATTTATTCACTGACACAAAGAATCTCAGGATTATCAATATTGTATTATAGTAGATGGAAGGATGAAAGTATCTTGTTAAACATGACTTCTGTGTCAAGTCAAGTCCCCTTCATTTATATAGCGCTTTTAACAATATAGATGGTTTCAAAGCAGCTTAAAGGGTTAGTTCACCCAAACATTTTAATTATGTTAGTAATTACTCACGCTCATGTTGTTCCAACCCCATAAGACTTTCGTTCATCTTTGGAACACAAATTAAGATATTTTTTATGAAATCTGAGAGCTGTCTAACTCTAACAGGCTGCTAGGTACAGTTGCATCTGCCGGCCCAGAAAAGGTAGTAAAGACATTGTTAAAATAGTCCAAGTGACTAGGACTAGTGACTAGGACTACCCAGTGGCTCAACCTTAAGTTTATAAAGCGACGAGAATACTTTTTGTGCGCAAAAAAACAAACAAAAATAACAACTTTATTCAACTATTAATTTTCTTCTGTGTAGGCCTCTGATGTGAGTTCACGAGAGCGCCACGACGCATGTGCGAGAACTGAGAAGATGGGTCTCGATGTAGTGTTTAAATGGTTCTAAAGTGTGCATTTCATGGATGTCCAAATAGTGAGAAACCGCAAAATGAATTACCTTTCACACTTACCTTTCATACTTTCCCATCAAATGATTGTGAGAGTCTTCCTCTCAGTTCCTGCGCATGCGTCATGGCACTCTCAAAACTGAGTGTAAGTTGTTATTACACAGGAAAAAAATAAACACTAAATTCAGAAAACATAGAATTGTGAGTGTCCCGCATTCACAATCTTGTTCGAGAAGCCGTTTACTGGATAAGTCGCAATAGGGAAGAAATGAATTTCGCAACTTCAGTTTCATGCCATACTTTGGGTGGGGGTTACTAAAAGTTTGCCATCACCATCATGTAGGCCTACTACTAGTTAATGTACTACTGAAGACGTTGTTCTTCTTATTTATGATGTCTAAACCACAGAATAAATGTGTGGAAGCTGCTAAATCAAATAGAGAAGGACTTAGTTAGCAGGAAAGGGCACGATATTTTGACAAACTAAAGTTAAAAGGTAGTAAAGATCCGCACGAGCTGGCTCCTTTGTTGTGAACTGACAACCCGACAATTCTTCCTTCTATTTCCCGACATGAAGCCAGCTGAAGACCTTAAATAAAGGTTTGGAGGCCTATAAACAGATGGTGTGTGGATGGGTGAGAGAGGCACAGCATTAGCTCATCAACGGCATGTGTATCGTGAGAATAACAAACTAGCCACTCATTAATTTATTTCTTTAATAAACGAACTGAAGAGGTAGCTGGTACAACAGGCTATAGAGCAATGTATCACCTACCTTGGCTTTCACATACACATGTGGTTGATGAGATGATGCTTTGCCTCTTGCAACTAAACCTTGCCTTCTTTCCTCAGTTTTTTTGCACTCTTCTCCTTGATTTGTTGTAACTTTCGGCAGTCTATAGTACTCCAAATATTTTTCCCGGTCTGACCGATTAGTAAAGCCCAAAACACGACATTAACTGACCATTTTCGGCAGCAATAATCAGCAAAATTTGCAAGTTTGACTTGTTAAAAACACCCTATTCATCCTATTCACAACAGTCACATGGCACAGGTTGCTCAAATCACATAAGTACTGTGAAACTAGGCCTTGCAAGTAAGCAGAATTTTAAAATGGATTTGTAACCGGACAGGAAGTAAATTTTGAGATGATAAAATGGGGCTGATGTGAAATTGAGGACTTTTCTAACTTCTAACTCTCTGAACACAACTCGCTGCTCAGTCTCTATATCTTCAGACGGCACGAAGAACTCAACGGCAGCACATGCAAACCCGGCATTGCTATGTTCATTACGGATAAATATCCATCACATCCATAAAATTTGTTTTGAATTTAATGTGAGTAGATTAAAACAATGGCTAGTAACCTGCACACTGTATCTCTGCATATCTGAGTGTGGTATAACAATACTTATTAGCGAATAATCAGAATAATGAAAATTGCATGTAAACTGGAGTGAAGAATTCTGCTCGTGTCCTGTAAACATCCTACTCCATTCTTACTCTGATTATTAGAAATAATCACATTATTAGTGCACATGTAAACGTAGTCACTGAAACTGTGAGCTGATTTATTTCTTCAAATGCCCTCATTCAGGTATAGCGCATGATAAAGTGTGTGTGTGTGTGTGTGTGTGTGTCTCTTTTTCAGGGCCTACGATCTCTGTCCTCCACATACTCAGTTCTGTACTGGCAGCTTGTCCATATCTGCTAGTGACAGTCGTGCTGATTTACAAATGCTGCAGAATGAGAGGTAAAAGATATGACTGATTTATTAGAAATCATAATCAACATTATATTAAATTGGCCAATTGTGACTGATGTCTTTTGCTTGCTCACTGGAGGTACTGTGACAATCACTTTACAAATTAATTCAATTGAATCTGTCCTTGAGCATACCTTTGCTAAGAAATGAATACATTGAAAGATGATGGACAATCCTAGACTAAGTAAAAATGTTTTGTGTTTATTTAACAGTTATATCTGTTGAAGAAGAAGACACTTCTATCTGATATTAAACCAAGAAAACTTCCATGCTTCCTGGAATCAATCAATATCTCATTCACAAGCTTGGGCAGAGCGTGCTTACTGTAAAGAAAACACACTAAAACAACAGCATTTTTAACTGTTCATGTTCTTCTTTTAAAATAAAGATACAATGCTGATTAGAAAAAAAAACTGGAGCTGTTTGTTGTTAATTCTTGCAGTGTCGCAGTGTGTTACTTGTACAGTCAAATCAAAATAACTATGACTTATGTAACTACACTGTTAGACCTTACCAGGCTTTGTTACAGTAAAATACTGGCAACACTGTTTTTTTACTGATAATTGTACAGTTATTTACTCTAATCTACAGTATGTTACTGTAAAAATACACTAAATTAAAATACACTAAATTAAAAATGCACTAAATTAAAACGTCTTGGTTACTAACGTAACCTCGGTTCCCTTTCGTAGTCACTCCGAGTTACGTCGGATGACGGAGAATGGGGGGTTTCGCCAGAAAGCCTATCATCTTCGAGTATTAAAAAACGAGCCTTTGGCAATGAAATGCCATGGGTCTGCGGAATTTGCATAATGTATCTCCGCCCCACCGCGTGGGTATTTAAGGAGAGACACCTGCAACAGCAGATCATGTTTTCGCTTCGGAGCCAAGAGCATCTCTTCACTCCACAAGCCAAATCCTGAGTTTTCTCAGTGACTACATCTCTTCGAGACGAGCGAACTCTCCGGTGTTGGTGTGACGGCGGTATCCAGCGAGTTTCACATTGCCTGCGAGCTGAGCAGTGGTCTGCCAGTCTGTGTGTTCTCCCTGGTCGCTTCAACATCCGCAGAGTTTTTCCTCTCACTAAAGAGCTGCACGCGGCACGTCTTTTTAAAGACGCGTCTTTCTAAAGACGATCTGCCCGTGTTTTTCTGAGTGTGGTATTCTGATAGATTCAGCTGATGGGCGCGAGCGCTGTTTTGAGTGTTTGGGCTTTGATCGCGCTCAGACAGCGCTCGTGGGTGTGTCACGTTCTCTCACTGGGAACGTGACCATCGCAATGTAACGGTCGAGACTCGGTGAGCTCAATGAGTGAGAGTCCCCTCATCCACACCCCGATCTATTTTTCTCCACGTGAGATAATACTTCGGCTGGTGGCCAGGGTGACCTAAGACGGCAGGTTTGGAACTAAACCGACGAAAAATTCCTCGGTCCACACCCCGTCTTTCACATTGCAACATTCGTGGTCCCAGGTGAGTTCGCCGGCCCGCCCGCGGGCCCGCGGTCTCATTCGTTCCCCTGGCTGATGAAATCATGTATCACCGCATCACAAGGTGAGCTGGAGTCCTCTAGAGATGATGGCTCGTCTGTGCTGCCGTGCTCGGATGTGCAAGCATAACGAGTTTGATCCAGAGTGCACAGCTATGCTTCCCGGGCTGCCGCGAGTATCGGGCTTGTGTGGAACCTTCTGCCATGTCCCGAGCACTTAAGGCTGTTGATTGGTTTTTGGGGGTGGCGAACCCAAATCCATTCTACCCGGACGTGCATGAAGAGATCATGAGATCGTGGAAGTCTCCTTGACTTTTCGCGACTGCTCAGTGGCCTCTTCCGCCTTCTCTGCCCTTGCAGAGGCCGCGGCCTAGGGTGCACTGGAGTTCCCCCTGTGGAGTGTTCTGTGGCAACACTTATGTGTCCCCACAGCGCCTCCACCTGGCGTGGCGACTCTTAAGCACCCCTCCAATGCCTGTAGGTTCTTGTCTACTCCGGTGGCGGGGACCTATAGAGCTGCGGGGCAGGCTGCCACCTCACTGCGTGTTATTGCCATCCTCCTGGGTGTTCAATGACATGCACGAGGGTAGGGCTGATTCAGGGCTCATCCTTGAGCTGCCTGCCGTCACCGACCTTGCTCTCCGAGCGACGTAGGTGACCGCACGCTCCCTGAGTCAGGTGATGTCCACATAGGTGGTCAGACACCTCTGGCTAACCTGGTTGATGTGCGCGAGGCTGAGTGATTTCGTTTCCTCAACTCCAGTGTACCTTGGTATTCCTGTGTTAAGTAGGACTCCTTCGTCCGTGCCTATATCACGACAGGGAGGTCAGACTTCGCAGGGCACTGGAAGACAGCTGTGAAGGTGGCGTGATTACACGGGGACCCCCATTCTCCGTCATCCGACGTAACTCGGAGTGACTACGAAAGGGAACGTCTCGGTTACGTCTCCCTGCCACTTCCGCTGTACCGCTGGGTAGACGCCTGAGTTCAGTCTCGGCTCCTCAGCGAAGACATGATCTGCTGTTGCAGGTGTCTCTCCTTAAATACCCACGCGGTGGGGCGGAGATACATTATGCAAATTCCGCAGACCCATGGCATTTCATTGCCATAGGCTCGTTTTTTAATACTCGAAGATGATAGGCTTTCTGGCGAAACCCCCCATTCTCCGTCATCCGACGTAACGTCTCCGTTCCCTACTCAGGGAACGAGGGTTACATCCGTAACCGAGAAGTTCTCTCTAGAAGAGGGAATGAGTGTTGCGTAAGCTAGCTTACGCTACGGGAAAACCTCTTTTCTCGAGAATACTGAAGTCAACAATTATCTTTATAATTTGTATTAATTTAAAAAGCAATTGCTGCAGCGAGCAGACCTAGGCGAGGCAGTTCACGCACCTATTGACTGCTCTGCGGCAACTGCTGCAACCTATCGAGGGACTCCTCGTGACGTAAGCACCAATGAGGGCGCTGGCGCCCTCAATCTTCACGTCCCGCGTGAATGAGCGTGGCTTATGAGCTCGATAGGATGCTCCTTGGTTTTCATCAACTGAAGTGAAACCAGATGGTAGCACAAGCACGGCAGGGTTACGCAACACTCGTTCCCTCTTCTAGAGAGAACCGAGGTTACGTTAGTAACCGAGACGTTCTCTTACGAGAGTACTCTCGTGTTGCGTAAGCTAGCTTTAAACCCAATTTAAAACTCCGTGCTTGCTAAATCTACCACAACACTGACCCAAGGGTGAGTGCCCTGAGCTCATATGATATGGGGACATAAATACTGAAGGATGGGCTTAATAAGAATGCTATAAGGCAAACGTGGTTACCTTAAGTGAACAAGGGTGCTTAACACTGTATAACAGCCAGGGGAGGCAAAAGCCTGCCTGAACTGAAACTTTGCAGTTTGCAGAAGCGAGTCCGGCAGTTCTGAGCAGATTAACTAGACTGATAACAATCTAGCTTGAAGAGCGGGAACTTCCAGGTTATAGAACCTTATAAATGTAGACGGAGAGGCCCAGCCTGCCGCCATACAGATATCTTGAAGAGAAATCCCACTGGACCAGGCCCACGAAGAGGCCACGCCTCTAGTGGAATGAGCTCTGACGCCCAGAGGGCTACGGAGGCCCTTAGATGCATAAGCCAGTGAGATAGCGTCCACTATCCACCTGGAAAGGCTATGTTTCGAGGCAGCTAGACCTTTAGATCGGCCACCAAAAGAAACAAAGAGCTGTTCTGACTGTCTGAATGCAGCCGAACTTTCCACGTAAATTCTCAGGGCCCTAACTGGGCAAAGGAGATTCACGTCGAACTTGCTGTCAGATCTGGAGAGGGCTGACAGGGAAATGACCTGCACTCTGAAAGGAGTGGCAAGTACTTTGGGGATATAACCATGTCTCGGTTTGAGGATGACATTGGAGTCATTAGGCCCAAACTCAAGGCACGACGCGTTAACAGAAAGTGCGTGTAAGTCACCCACCCGCAAATGATCTGAAAATCATCCTGCCTAATCATTCACATAAAACAATAGATTGTTTTAAATTGTAAAAAAAAAAAAAATTGTTTGGAAAGGCAATATGTGTGGAGGCGTGAACGGCCCAACCCCCTCATGTACAATTAGGTGGTTCTCACCTGAGAAGACAAAGACCCGCATAATAATGAGCCTTTCATTCAGGTGTGTCACACAAGAAAGAATGCGAGGACAATATATATACATATACACACACACACACACACACACACACACATATATATATATATATATATATATTAGAGGTGGGCATAGATTAATTTTTTTAATCTAGATTAAACTAGATTAATATTGAAATTAATCTAGATTAATCTAGATTAAAATGGCTCATTTGAATTCTCCCGAAGGCATTCAGAATATGTGTGCTACTCAAATAATGACTAAAAGTAAGTCTTTGAGAATAGTTTGCCTCGCGTAGGGATGTGCATTTCTGCCAAAAATGCCACTCGACAATCGAGGAGCAAAAGTCGAATATCGTTAAAAACCCCCCCAAAAAAACGCAATGACAGAAAGGGAGGCCAATTTCATCTTTAGCGATTTGTCATCAAACAAACTGTTTATTAATTGAACAAGTAACATGTTTTCGTCCTTTTTTTAACATAAGTAGGCTAATTGGAAGAAGAAAAAAAACAATACGCACGACAGTCCGTTTTTGCATCGCCAATGCTCGTTAGATCCAAGGGCGTAGGTTTAGGGGGGGACGCTAGGTACTAGTCCCAATCAATATTTTGAGATGACAAATTTGTCCCCACCAATATTTAGCAAGCTCCTTTGAACTGCTATTTTGATACTTGCGCTGCTATTTGGATCGATTCCAACGGCCAGGACGACGACAGTACAAGATACGCCGTAATTTGATTAGCGGCGGGGTATCTGACAGGCTACACGTGCGGGCCGGGACTACTTTCTGTGCTTGCACTCACTGGCAGCGAGCGGGTGGTGTGTGCGTGTGCGCGCGTGACGACGCCGACAAGTTACCAGGGCTGTCTCTCTGCCTCCCATATACAAATGCCAGAGTAAAACATTTTAATATTCCGTTTTTTTTTGCCCCTTTTTGTACTTTGTAGATCAGCTATGTCACCCAAGAAGAAGAAAGGGGACATACGAAGCTTTTTCATAAAGCAGAGTGTAAGTAGGCAAAATTACGGTGGCCGAGAGAGCTCAACGCGCTGCAACTGAAGAAAACACATGCAAATAGAAGAAAACACATGCAAATAGAAAACTACGCGTGCAAATAGAAAAAAAACACATGCAAATAAAATAAAACGCATGCAAATAGAAAAAAACGCGTGCAAATAAAAAAAAAACACCTGCAA